TAAGATCTCGGAGTATGTGTTGCAAAGAAACACAGGGGATGCCATGCAAGTGGACATGGCAACAATCATGCAGGCACTGTCCAAGCTGGCAGGGGAGCAGACTTGGCAGCCAGTTTCACTGTTGTGACATCGGGCCCGACATGTGCAAAAGCTGTGTCTGTATTGCAGAAGCTATGAAACCTGGAAACTCTTAAAGATACTATAGCGATGTATATATATATATACATATGCAAAGGCATATGCATACCTATATATATATATATTTGTTTATATTTATATATGCATATGTGTATGCGTATGCATATGCATATGCATATGTATATATATATATATTTATATAGGTATCTAGGTATATAGGTATAAAGGTATATAGGTATATAGGTATATAGGTATATAGGTATACAGGTATATAGGTATATAGGTATATAGGTATATATGAATGTACACATGTGTGTCTGTACACATATGCATGTGTATGTATGTCTACGTACATGTATGTATGTCTATGTATGTATGGGTGTATGTCTGAGTATGCATACATGTGTCTGTGAATGTATGTGTTGATATGCGTCTGCGTGTACATGTCTGTACATACATCGTACTTAAGGAAACACGTATATGTATACGACCACGCAGACCCAGTTCCCAAAAACATTATGATGCATACTAAACAAGACATGCAAGTACAAAGCCGTGTCACGACAGACTCAAGACCATGCAGCCGACAGGGTGGCCGAGTGACACGCCTCCAATTCGCAGCGTCCGACTCCTCGCCCTCTAACAGCTGGCGAACCAAGGAGCTGATCCGATCCGGATTTACCTGCAAAGGCTCTCAGACAAGCTTCAAGCTTCATGGAGCTCGCGTAAATCTGCAAGTAGCAGTACAGTACAAATTTACCATGTTGGACCGATGAATCGTTTGACAGGAATGTGGAAGAAGACGGCATTGCCTTCTGAGAGCTTGATGTAGCAAGGCGGGACGAGGCCTGGCAGAGTTGCCAAGATCTGACAGCCTGCAAATGTAAAAGTCTGCTTCTGGGCAGTGGGCGGTTGGCTTGCGCGAAGCAGACGAAGGAGATGCCCTGGCCACGCAGGCCACGGTCTCCACGTCAGATGCCCAAATCTTTCCGCGTCCAACATGCTGGAGCCGCAGCTGCAGGCTGCGCACAGCATCGGTTCCAGCGCCTCCCCGGAGGGAAAACTACATAGAGACTCGAGACGTGCTAGGACCAGAATTGGGTGGAGTCAATGGCGGGAACCGGTGGGCTTGCGACAAAGGCCGCGGCTGCAAAGTCTCGAGTCTTCAAGAAGCTTCCTGGCCAAGCTGTGTCTAACGCACAGAAACAATACATCTACCAGGATCAATGTAAGTTACTGCAAACCCCCGAGCTCCAAGCTTGTTGCTGCACCGCGATTCTGTGGTGGGTATTCGAACCTGGACCCAAGACACGAGCGGCGCACAATAATCAAGTCTTGACCTTCTTGTTAAAGCTAGTGTGGCAAGACATAAATTTACACAAGTACATGAGCGTCGATGATTTTGAAGAACCAACTAGCGAAAGGCTGGTGACCGCAATCGGGTGATGTTCATGTGGAGTTATGAAAGAGTTTACAACAATTATTTATGTCGTTCTAGCTCACAGCACAAGCTTGGCCAGTCGGTCCAGCGATTGCACAGCAAGCCAGCTTTCCAGTGGCAATGCTCTACGGTAGTGGATTTGAGGCAGATTCAGGTAATGCTTGCCATGGCCGGGTCATTGCTCACGAACCTCATCTTGTGGGCTGCCATCTGCAGCTGCAGACGGACATCTTGGGGCTGTGCTGTGCAGTCCATTCTAAGACTCCCCAAAGCTCTGAGAGCAAGTTTTCTACAAGCACTTGGGGCACACACGCGTGTGGGTATGTTGTTAGTCGATGTTGTTTCTTGGAGCGGCATGCTGATTGCAAAGTGCAAAATTGGTACCCGCTGTCGAGATGAGCTAAGCCGGGAACGGGTGGAGCGCCATGATAAGGGGCACCTCCAGGCGGGGCACGGCGCGACGACCTGATAAAAGCGAACAGCCCTTCACTTACGTCGCTGTGCGTGGCATTGCTCTCCACTGCCTGCTGGCTTCGGAGAAAGCCGGAGTACTTGCAACCCGGGAGGGTCCAGGCGCAGCCTTTCGTGCCAGTGTCTGCCCATGCTGCCGAAGTGTGCACACGGCCTTTGTCAGCAGCTTCTCCAGACGCTTCCTCCGGAGGTCCAGAGCACTAGTGCTTGGGATGATGGCCGACACCTTGCACAGGGCGAACACGCAGCAAAACCAGCTTCCTGCAGATGGGGTCTGCGTCGACAATGCGCAGTCTATCGGGCAATTTTCAGAAGTCGCGGATAATGAGCGTCTACTGTGGAGCATGTTCCGATGTGGCTCTAGCCCAGGCCTTCGGGGCCATGGCTCCATGGACGCGTACGTGGGCTACACACTGATCACTGTTGTGGCTTTGCGGTTCCGGCAGGAATTTTGCACCGAGACTACCTGACTACCTTCGATTCTTGCATCTGCTCATGAAACTTCGGACTGCTTCAGTGGTTTTGCCTGTACAAGCTGCGTCTTACGCAAGTTTACGCCAGTCACATTCAGTGGACGGTATCCCAACCGCTCCCAAGTGCAGCTCATGATCATCAAATCTCACATGAAGGCCCCAGGGGCACTGATTCAATTCGGCATCTGGTGGAAGCCAGCGTTGGGCCGCATCTGTTGCCAATTCCACGTATGCTTTGAACCTAAGTGTGGGCCGGTGCCAAGACACGGATTGCGGCTTTCGCAAGACTCCGAGGCTTCGACTTTTGCATGGCTCTCTTGGAACCATCCAAGGTAGGATGATCCTCTCAGGGTGCATACACCACGGGAGACTTCTACAGCACCAGCAAATCACAGATGAGATCCGAGTGGGCGACGCTCTTCTGAAGGACTATCTGCATGGGCTTGCCAGAAGCCTCTGCCTTCCGAAGAGGCCCTGATAGTCTTACTCCGCTGTGAGACTTGGCCAGTTGCCTCGACCACCCCGCTTTCCCGGGCGGCTTCCTTTAATTCCGGGGAGAGCTCCTGAGCTCGCAAAGACCAAAGAGATAACGCGGAAAGCGTCCTGCGTTCCTGTTGAGGGTCTTGAGTCGCAGCGCTGTTTGCCCACATCAAACCCGGGGCGTTGCTGAAACCTGTTTTCCGGTTCTTGTTGATGCGGCTTGAAAAGTTGAGTTGCATCGCACCAGACCGACATCAAAAACTTGGAGGCCTTCCCAAAGTCGGCATGCAATTTCCACAGCAATCCGAGATCTTCCCGTCTCCTTTACTGACAATTTGAAGGAATTTCTACAGTTCCGTTGACATTAGATATGAGAGCGTAGAAAGGCGTCGAGCTGCAGTAGAAGACAGGTCAAACGACTGGTGCAACGAGCTCACAGCATGACACGATGGGAGCACATTGAAAATCTCTGGCTTCCGGCGATCCATTACCGAAGCGCCCAAACTGAATCGGGACTGCTTCCAATTGCCCAGGCCTTGAAGCTTCGCCTGCTGTAGGAACTCTCTTCCGCTCCGTCCGCTGCTTCCTTGGCCTGGGGTCAGTCTGACACCAGTCCACAAGAGTGCTTGCTTGTTGCGACATTTTGAGTCAGATGGGAACGCAAAACATCGCAACTCCGGTCAGCAGACAGTCATTTCTGATCCCGAGCAGCCAAGATTCGGTTTTGAGTTTCTCAACGCGCATCTGCTTTTTAGGCTTTTGCTCGACCAACATCTCCTTTTAGGGTTTGGGGTTTGCCAGCTTGCATCCCCAATTAGGGTACTAGTTTCGCAATTAATATCTCCTTTTCAGATTTCGAGTTTCTCAACTAGCATCGATACTGGGTCTCAATCCCAAATCTTTTTTATTTTTAAAGGTTGGATTTCGCAACCAATATCTGCTTTTGGGGAGTTGAAACCGCTCTGCCACATATTTGAAGAAATTTGGAGCCTAGGAATCGCTGCAACACAGCTGGCGCAGACAAACCGCGCGGTCGTAGTAGTAGCAGTAGCAGTACCATTAGCAATAGCAGTAGCAATTACACTAGTAGTACCTAGTAGTAGCAGTAGTAGTAGTAGTAGTAGTAGTAGCAGCAGCAGCAGCAAGTAGTAGTAGCAGTAGCAGTGGCAGTCG